TCCTTTCCAAATTACTGAGGAGTAATGATGTCAGCTTGAGGACTAAGCACCTGCCATGGTCTTTCCAGTCACTTGCTATGGATCTCACAGCTAGACAATAACTAAGGAAGACAAATTGATGCCTTTGAACAGGATGCAGAAGAGGGCTGAAGGTCCCACAGACTGTACGAAGAATGCATGCCTTGGAGAAGGTGCAGCCAGAGTGCTTCTTGGTGGCAAGGATGGTAAAGCTTCATCTTACATACATTGGTCATGTTGCTAGGGGAAGCTATACATTGGAAAGGGACATCATTCTCGGGAAGGTGAAGGGGTGTCGACAAGGTAGGTTGACACGATGATTGTGGCAGCGGACTTGGGTCAGAAAGTGTTGAGGATGGTAAAGGTAAGGCGAGTGTTGTTCATATGGTCACTGAGTCATACTCTACTACATATAACATCATTTTCTTCGTTACTGTTGTTTACGAAGCCATTATAATTTTCCTTCCTTTTAATTAAGTCTATTAACATTCTTTCAAGTTGTCTATAATGTACCTCTTTACTCTCAACGTTAAGACAGTTGACTGCTGAAATAGACTCATAAGCTGGTTGCACCATCTCTTGACCCATCTTTGACTAGAGGTGCTGCTTGGGACCTGGTTCACATCTTCTGGCTTCTCTCACCATGCAAACAGAAACTCTGACCTGACTGGGCACTCCAACTCCAGTCTTTTAGGTGTGCAGATACACTGTCCTAGGCCAGCCAGTTTTCTATTTCCCAAAGCATGTATGTTTATAGTATTTGTATGCTTCCTTGTCTTAAGATTTGCTCTTATGGGTGTAACACTTGTCTGCATGTTGCTGAAGTGCTTGAAGCTATACCACTTGTACGTCAAATACCAGCAAGGTCACCCAGGACAGATGAGTTTTGGTGGAGCTTCCAAAAGTGGCCATCCAATTCTGAAACAGGCTTTTGAAAGCCTTGTGAATAAGTGGAATATTGTTATAGGACTGGGAAAAAAAGTAGAAAAATCCATAAATATTCATTAATAATGAAAAGGTGGAATGTACAAATTATGACTCCAGGAAAATTGAAAGTTATAAAAAATGGCATGGAATGCACAAAGATTGACATCCTAGATACTAGTGAACTCAGATGAACTTGTAGTGGTCACTTTAAGTTAGAAATTACTATTATACTGGGAATGGCAAATTGAAGGAGAATGTGTTGCATTCACAGTAAATGAATATTTAAAGATTTGTTATAAAATACAGTGCTGTGATATGACACTATCCATATGCATAAAAGGCCTGCTAATACAAATATTATTTAAATATATGTACCAACTACTAAAGCCAAAGATGAAGAGAATTATGTCTGTGAAACATTACAGTCTGAAACTGACTGAACATACCAAGTGAACCAAGACACATTTGTAATAACTGAGTGAAAAAGTTGAAAACAAAAGGATTGGTAGTTGGAAAATACGGCTCTGGTAACATGAATGAAGCTGGAGATAAAAAGATACTTTATATAAAATTAATTATTTTGTCACTGTAAATACATTTTTAGAAAGCATAAATGGCATTTATATACATGGACCTTGCCTAATGGATTACACAAGCATCAGATTGACTACATAGATGGAAACAGTTGATAGAAAAGCTCAATACCATCAATCAAAACAGGATAGACTTAATGAGCTGTCTTCTGTCCATAAAAAGAAAACACAAACAGAAACTCTACATGTAGACCTCACTGGATTGAATACACAGAAGTCTGTGGAAAGAGATGATAGAAAAGCTCAATACCAGCAGTCAAAACCAGGCCAGGGGCTTATCAATTACTTATGTGCAAGTTTAAAAGGAAGCTGAGGATAAAAAACAAAACACACAATATACAAAAACCAAAACATGCCCTGAAGTTTATCCCACCTTATTTAAAAACCATCTCAAGAATAGAGGTGATGCACTAATTACCAAAGACTGGATGAGTTGAAAGATGACAACATCCATGAAGAAAGAAGATAGTCATTACAACGTTCCTTGTTCTGATATTCTCCATTTTTCTTGTTGCTATCATGAACAATTTTGGGCTCTCTACATTGCTTTTAGACTGTTTTAAATACCCTTAGTATCTGCTAAAACTCTGACTCTGTAAACTCAATTAACAATATTTAATGACAAAACTCTTCACCATCCATACTGATGCTGCCAATTGGCCCAGTGGTGAGAATCTTAGTTTTCTTGATATTGAGCTTCAATCCATATTGAAGACAGCAGTCCTTGACCTTCTGCAGCAAGTGCTTCAGGTCCTGCTCAGTTTCAGCAAGCAGGGTTGTGTCATCTGCATAATGCAGGTTGTTGATGATTCTTCCACCAATCCTAATGCCACATTCCTCCTCATACAGTCCAGAGTCTCGGATAATCTGTTCTGTATACGGATTGAAAAGGTATGGAGACAAAATAAATCCCTGATGGACCCCTTTCTTGATTTTGAACCATCCAAGGTCTCCCTGCTCTGTTCTGAGGACTGCCTCTTGGTCCAAGTATAGGTTTCACATTAGCACAACCAAATGTTTTGGGATTCCCATTCTTCTCAGAGTCAGCAACAGCTTCTTGTGATCCACACAGTCAAAAGCCTTTGCATGGTCAATGAAGCACAGGTAGACATTCTTCTGGTAGTCTCTGCTTAGAGCCAAGATCCATCTGACATTAGTTATAATATCCCTAGTACCAAGACCTCTTCTAAATCCAGCCTGCACATCTGGCAGTTCTCTGTTGACATATTGTTCCAAACGTTTTTGGATAATTTTCAGCAGAATCTTGCTTGCATGTGGTATCAATGACATTGTTCAATAATTTCCACACTCTGTTGGGTCACCTTTCTTTGGAATGGGAACAAATATCAATCT